AAATAACAATAATTTATAATTTATCAAGGGGTCATGAGGGTGGGAGTGGGGAAGGGGAGCTGATACCAAGGGCTCAAATAGAGAGTAAATGTTTAGAAAATGATGATGGCAACCTATGTACAAATGCGCTTGATACAATGGATGGATGGAATGTTATAAGAGCTGTCAGAGCCCCAGATAAAGTGATCTTAAAATAAATAAAAAAATATAAATAAGCAAAACGAACAGTTTAAAAAAACGAATGAAAAAAGCAGTCTCTTTTCCCAAAGAGGTGGATGTAAGTTAAGATGTGTGTGGACTTAATCACGTTCCAAATGCTTACACAGCAGTTCTCAACTGTGGGTCGCGACCCCTTTGGGGGTCTAATGACCCTCTCACAGGGGCAGATTCATTACAGTAACAAAATGACAGTGATGAAGGCGCAACGAAAATGATTGTATGGTTGGGGGTCACCACCACATGAGGAACTGTATGAGAACCGTTGGCTTTAGACAAGCTTGAGACCCATGTGGTTGCCATGCCTTTAACGGAGAGAATGCCCCCCCCTTTACTTTTGGGGCACACGCAGAGCGTGCAAGGTTTAGGCTCTGCGTGTGTGTTTGTGGCAGGCGGCAGTGCCAGAAGCCACAGTGGGAGCGGGCTTACCTTCCAAACAGGTAGCTGACGTCAGACCCTGGGCTGGCTGACAGCACTGAGGCCTCGCTGCCCCGCTGTGGGCTTGGGCCCCGGGGACCCTTCTCCAGGCCTGGGGAAGCCTCCAGTGGTGAGCCCAAGCCCCGAGGGCTCAGGGCCTTGCTCCCCGGGCAAGGGATGGAGGTGCTAGGGGGATGTGAGGGATGAGGAAGGGGACGCTGGTATCCCCTGCCCTGGCTCCCGGAGAAGATGAGGCTCTCGCTGCTGCTCCGGGTCTCTCGGGGAACGTCTCTGGAAAGGAGGAGGCCGCCGTTGCGTGGGGAGCCGAAGGGCGGGGTGACCGACAGGCTGGAGCAGCGCTGGGAACCATCGTGGCACCTCGATCTGGTGGAAGTCACCTCGATGTACTTTATATCTTTGGGGAGGGAAGCAGAGCGCTGCTGAAGCGGCAGAGCCGAGCACTCAGGCAGACTGGCCCTGCCCCTGTTTGAGCCACTTCAGCCAATGACTTGGCCGCCCAGAGCCTCAGTTTCCATGCCTCTAGCATGGGGCAACCGTTCCCAGGGTCTTGGTGCTACAGTAGAGGAGGCATGGGCAAATGTAAGCAGTCTGGCACCGTGCCTGGCACACAGTAGGAACTTGGTAGTGGAGATGCACCTCGCCTTGGTCTGGACCCCACTTCCCGGGGTGGAATGGCTGCTTCGTTGAGCCCCCCAGGGTTACCCCGAGACACCTCTCTTTTGCTCAGGATGTAAGAGCAGCTCCTGCTTCTGCACCTCCCATGAAGGCCAGGGCCCTCCCCCTTGGTGGTACATGTATCTCCCGAGGCTATACCGATGCCAGTTACATGGGATGCTTCCGGGGGTGGCACGGGGTGGGGTGGGGGGGTACAGCGGGCGTGTGTGGACCCAGGCCTCTGTGTTTTGTTTTTCTCGGTTTGTTCCGTTTCCTGGGTGATGCCAACCCGCAGCCAAGATGGGAAGCCCTACTCTGGAGCCTCAGTGATGTCGCCCCTGGCCCTCAGCACCCTCACCAGAATCTTGGGCACCCCCCAGGTCGACCAAGCCAGGGTCAGCTCTTCCGTGACTCACTGGGGATCCTGGGCGCCCCTCCACACCTGAGAAGCTCAGCTTTAGGGAGAGGGCTCCCTGAGGGCAGTATAGCCTGGAGCTGGGCTCAGCGGGGGCCCTGGCTAGTGGGTGCCGCCTGGCTCTCATCCCTGGCTTCTTTCCACTCCATGCCTGTCTCCCTCCTCCCTGGAGTGGGGTACCATGGAGTTCTCTCCACGGTGCAGATCAACACCCCTCCTCCCAGGCTGGTGCTGTTCTGGCAAAGACAGTGGGGCCCCTGAGCTGTCTGAGGACAGAAACGGGCAGAGCCACACCCTCATCTCCTTGGCTCCTGCCCATCTTCCCCCACCCCCTCCCTCTGCTGGGCCTGGAGCCTCAGCCTGTCCCAGCTTGCACCCGGGGAGGGCCTGATCATGCACCTGGTCTCTGTCTGAGCCTGCGTGGACCGTGAGGGGTGGTGATGGGTTCCATCCCAAGGGGGTAGGGGCAGGCCTGGCTTTGCAGGTGACAAACCTGGGTGTGAGTCTTGCCTTGGCCCCTTTCCAGCCCAGAGGCACTGGATAACTTTGCTAACCTCCCTGAGCCTCAGTTTCCTCACCTGTGAAGCGGGCCACCTCAAACTTCTCAAGGTTGTAGTGAGGGTGAAAGATGGTCTGGCTGCCTGCTTGTTGTTCTGGGGTGTTGTTGGCCAAATGGAGCCCTCTCTCTGGTAAAGGTAGGGACCCCTCTGCTGAGGAGGAGGAGGGCCAGAGGAGAATATTTGGGGTCATGGATTGTGGGCTCTGGAGGAGAATCTTTTTCTTGGAAGTGGGGTGGCTGGCCAGGCAGCTTCTCTTTTTATAGCACGTGCTTGTGTCTGCATCCATCGTCCCCTTGAAACTCACCACAGGCAGGGCAGGCATTGCTTCTCCAGTGGAGGAAACCGAGGCTCAGAGACCAGAGGGGCAGGAGCGAACATGTGCTGAGACCCCCACCATGTGCCTGGCTTCGTGCCGGGTGGTTTGTCTTTAACTCAAGCCTATTTGCAGGATTTGCAGGCCCTGGGGGCCCCCCCAGGACCCCAATTTAATACACCCATTTGAAAGCACCAAACTCCCTGACATCGAGTTGAGGCCGAGTCACAGTGCCCTGTAGGACAGGGTAGAACTGCCCCTGGGGGTTCTGAGACGGTCACTTTTTATGGGAGTAGAAGCCCCGTCTTCCTCCCGAAGAGCAGGAGAAAGTACTTTTGAACTGTCCTTTCGAGAGGGAGAAAGTAGTTTGAATGGTAGTTTTGAACCTTGGACCTTGCAGATTGAAGTCTAACTCAAAACCACTACATCAGGGGGTCGCTGTACTTACTGGGCGGCCCGGGTTGACACCACCCCTAACACGTTTCCTCTAGTAGCTCCTTGACACCCCCCCCCCCCAGTCTACGGAAGTAGGAGGTGTTGTGCGTGCCTCTCGTCCATCAGCGATCTGAGGCACAGAGATTCCCTGAGCCACCCAGAATCACACAGCCGGGGGTCAGAGGTACGACACGGGACACCAGCTCCAGGGTGCTTAGGGGCCTGCCTCTTCGGGGGGTGATTTCCACCTGGTAAAGGTCTGGGTCCCCCCACTCACTGACTTAGCTCAAGACCCAGGGCAGCATGGGGGAGGGCGGAAGCCTGGGCTGTGAGTGAGTCACCCCCCACTCCCGAATTGTCCTGCGGTGGATGTGGCTGGGGGAGGTAGAGGCCCCCACCCTATTACCTGGGTGAGGCCGCCCGTTTACGGGCCTGTGGGGCAAGTCTGAGCAGCACTGGATGGATGCAGGTACTGGCAGAGGGCAGGCAGAGGGGTGGAGGGGTAGGTAGGTGGGAGGGGTGGGCAGGGAGGCAGTTATTAAGCCCTCTTCAGTTTGGATTGGCAAACTGCCTTGCTTGGCAGATATTGCTGGAAAAATAAATGTGGGGGCCTGTTCCATAGACTGAGGGGCTGGATAAGGAAAGGGAGAAAGCTTTTGCTTCTAGGAGCCCGGCTCTTTGTGGGAGAAGACGCCCCTAACATTTAAGGAAGGCCCGCACAAGGATAGGGGCCTGAGCCCAGGGGAAGGGCAGGTACCTTGGGGAGGCCGAGTCTCTGCCGGCTGCAGACAGACTGACCCTGTGAAGGCTGAGCAGGCAGGAAGGACATCGCTCCGAGGCAGAGAAGCCCACGAAGGCCATGGCAGATCTGAGGACTACCTGTGGGAGCCTCAGTAACCTCACCTGCGAGTGAGGTGATTGCCACCGCAGGGCCCGGGATGGAATCATGCATTCCTTGAAGGACTTCAGATAATCTACCTGCCTGCCTGCTTGCCTGCCTGCCTGCCTGCAGGAGCCCTGGCGGGATCTTGGTTGTGCTTTGGGCTACAACCCACAAGGTCAGCAGTTCAAAGCCACCAGCTGCTCTGAGGGAGAAAGATGAGGCGTTCTCCTGCCACACTCTCTTGGAAACCCAGGAGGGCAGTTCCACCCTGCCCTAAAGGGCCATCATGACTGGGTCTCGACTCGATGGCAGTGAGTTTGGTTAGGGTTTTTTGAGAAATCAACATGCTGCCCAGCGTTTAATTCTGAGTGTTGCCGAGTTAGGGCATCAAAGAAACAGTCAACATCAGCTGCCACCGAAATGATGCGGGAATGACTTCCTTCTGACACCTCAAAGTAGGAAAGGATGAGACTGAAAAATAGCCCGGGGGCTGGGGGTGTCCCCCACCAGTGTGGTTGCTGTCAGTGTTAGTCGAGTACGATTCTGACTCAGGATGGCAGCTAGAACTGTGACGGGGGTGTCCAGGCTGGGCCCCTGGGAAGCAGATTGCCTGGCTTGTCTGGTGAGGTGCCTTCAGGATGGGTTTGAACTGTCAGCGTTTCGGCTGGTAAATGGGTGCTTCATGGTTTGCAGCACCCGGGGACCCCAGCATATCCTTAGCTAGACGAAACCCCCAAGGTGCCCAGAGCTGGTTGTGTGACACCCCTGTCACCAGGCGCAGTGACGTGTGGAGTGGCCGTGCCTTGACCCAGGAGGCCACGATGGAAGAGAAAGGACACCTGCTATCACTGCGTGTACAGTAGCAGCTTCGTAGTTGCAGGACTGAGCTTCCTAACGGGCACCTCACCGGCTGCGCTGTCTCAGGAGGCAGTGAGCTCCCAGCATTGTTTGTGTCCCGATGGAAGTTATAGGCGAGACTAAAACAAATGAAGCCAGCCCCCCTGTTGCCTAAGGGTCTAGGGCAGAGCTGGGCAGACTCGCCAGGACCCTTTGGCCACCGCTGACCCCCACCCCCACCTCCTGTTCCTTGGTGGACAGGTCCTGACAATGGCAGGGCGTGCTCAGGGCATCTGAGAACACAGACCATTGCCCGTCAGTCCCTTGGAGGAAAGGTTAGGTCGGCCCCACTTCTGCCCTGGGCACCTTCACTGCTGGGACTGGTCTGGTCCCCGCTGGCTCTGAGGCTTTGAACCCCCTTCCTTGGGCTTTGAACTTAAAAGCCAGGGTAATTAAGCTCCAGGCACCTTCCCTGCAGGAATGAGCCCATGATTGGCCCTAAGAAGCAGGAAAGATTCTCAAAGGCTGGAGGTGGTTCCTTTAATGGGCTTGGCAGGCAACCTGGGATGGAGGAGACAGAGCAAGCTGGGGCACCAGAGGACCTGAGTGCTGGGCTCACCTTCACCCCAGAGCCCAGCCCTACCCTGGAGCAGGCCCTAAACGCAACCCCACTGTTTAACAACAATCGCCACCGTTTATAGTGACTTACACGCGTGCCAGCGTGCATGAGAAGCAGCCAGCCAATCTTATTACTTTTAATTCTGTGCAGTGGCCTTTCAAGTAAGAACTCTTCACGGTCTTTATTTTATAGGTGTAGATGAAGCAAGCAGGGTGTGTAAGATCTGCCTGCCTCCAAGTGCAGATATTCACCCCGGGGTGGTGGTGGGGTGGGGGTGGTGGTGGTGTTATAGCTGCGTGGTAGAAATAAGAGAGACGGGCCCTGCTATACCTGCGCATCCTGTCTAGCTCTACCCTTGGTGGCATCTTGGTGGCAGCCTGAAATCAGCCGTGGTGAGAGAATTGGCACCACGGACATTGGCAAGCACTTCAAATCAGGGCTTCTCTTCCCTCCCCTCTTCTTGTCCTCCCAAGCAAGCCCACTGTCAACACTTGATAGGGGAGCTCTGCTTGGAAGCAACAGAATTCCTGCCCTAAGAGACTGAGTTCTGTGTCTCTAACGCCACTGGTTTCACCTTGGGCCTCTCCAGAGAGAGACTGCTCCGCAGACACAGGGACCCAGGCCTTGAAATCCCACAGGAATTTCAGGGGTCTGGCCGAGGATCTACAGATACTCCAGGGTAGCGGAGTCCAGGGCCCCTATTTTATTGGGCCCTTAAGAGCAGACTTCAGAAAGTTTGTGAAAAAACGGGAATGAACGGATACTGGGATTTCTCCACCAACGTTTGGAAGCCGTACAGATGGCCTTAGCTTGTTGCAATTCTCATGAAAGCCCTACAGAGCAGGTAGTCATGCATCCCAAACCCAAGAACCAGACAGAATTGGCCAGCGAGGGAACGTTGCATCTATCTCTGTTTGGCAGCAGTCGGGCTACGTTGCTTTTTGAGGGTTGCCCAGCACCTCCCAACAGAACCGTGTCCCCTGCTCCTCTGATTTCATAGGAAAGCCTGCCTTCTCCATGAGCTCTGGTCCCCAGGCCCCCCTCTTGGCCCTGTGCCCCGGCTCCTTACCCAAGGCTTCGGGCTCCTCCTTCTCTCTCAGGGCTGAGCTCTGGGCAGGCTCAGCCGGGGGCCCAGCAGCCCGCGCTGGAAGCAGCTGGAAGGTGGGGTCCAGTTCCAGGATCATCTGGTGGAGGCTCTCCAGCGAGAAGTCAATACAGGAAGCAAGGTCCTCTGGGCCCCCTGAAGTCTGCTCCCTGGGGGCCTGCAGAAGGCCTTCGGTCTTGCCCCCAGCCTGTGGGGCCTGCGGAGGGCTGCTGGGGGCCCCCTTGCAGGACAGGGGAGCCATGAAAGCCTGGGCTCCCCAGCCTTCTGTGGTGTAGTAAGGGCACTGGGGTGGCAGGCCACGGCTGGGGGCTGGGTGCAGGGCCCTGTGGGGTTCCTCGTGGGGAGCCATGCGGACTGCATGGGCTCCCGCCAGCAGGGGGCTGGCTATCACCTGTGACATGGTGGGGATGAGGACCCCAGAGTTTACCTCTGCCTTCCAGCCAGCCTCAAGAACATTCCAGAGGTCTTGCTGCCAAAAAGGAGCTCTCAGGACCTGAAAGAGCCCGGGAGATGGGGATGAGTAAGCTCTGTAGCAGAAACGGGGCCTTTCCACAAAGGCACACATATATTCATTGTCTCAAAAGCAGGGCTTCTGCAGTCAGACTGCCTGGATGTGCTTCCTGGTCCTTATTAGCTGTGTAACCTTGAGCAAGTGAAATCCATTTCCTGAGCCTCACTGACCACGAGTAGTAGGGTTTCTGATGGCTAATGTTCAGCACCAGTTCACCAGGCCTTTCTTCCATCACGGGTGACCTGCGTCCAGAATCATAGCAACCTGGAGGTCACCACCGTGAGACCTCCTGCCAGACGGGTGGGGGTGCCCAGGAGCCCTGGCCTCCCTCTCTCTGTGTTGGAGTCCACACAGACTCATGGTGACTCTATAGGACAGGGTAGAACTGGCTCGGGGGCTTCCGAGACTGTAACATTTTATAGGACTGGGAAGCCCTGCCTTTCTCCTGCTATCACAGATTTCAGGTATAAAAAACCAGCTACCACCGAGGTGATGCCTGCTCACGATGACCCAGTATGTGCGAGAGTGGAAACTGTGCTCCACACAGTTGCCCGTGCTAACTGCTGGACGTGGATCATTGGGCCCTGCTTCAAGGGACCTCTCGGTGGATCCAAGCTTCTTCCCTTTCAGTCAGCAGCCGAGCCTGTTGGCTCTTTGTACCAACCTGGGATTATGAAGCATGTTGGCACTGCTATTTACGCACAAAGCCTTTTAAAAATCCTTATAATTCTTTTTTTCCTTTCACAGGAAAAAAAATAAGTCATAAAAATCAAAACAAAACAAAACCAGCAACACAACCCAAAGCAAACTCACACACACAAAAACCCACAACAAAAACCAAACAACTAAAAAACCCTCTCCAGATTCCTCACCCTGCAGATCTGAATATGGGTCTGAGAGGCCAAGGGTGGAGGAAAATTAAAATGGAAGTCCACTTGGAGTCTTCAGTGATGTACAAGGTCATGTCAGACATGAAAAAAAGATCCTTATAATACCTCTGTGAGGTAGGTATTAGCATTATCCCGCTTTACAACAAGAGAACTTGAGACTTGGAGAGGCAAGTTAACTTTCCTCAAGGGTCACATTGCCAGCAACGGTCAGAGACTCCTTGACCTCAGGCTGCCTGGTGTGGGGTCACGCCTGTCACTGCTACTCCACCTAGTCCTGTCTGAAACGGACCCATCAAGTGCTGAGCGATCATGCAGCGAGGAGGGGCATGGAGGGACTCTGGGGGCACTGATGGGGTGGTCAGGGAAGACTTCCTGGAGGAAGGGACCGGTTAAGGGAAATGAGGAGAAACAGGACTAGCTGAGCAGGGCAAGTTCCGGTAGGGATGCAGGGTGAGTTCCCAGTGGGGGCTACCGTGTGTGTGTGTGCAGGGGACGTGTGTGTGCAGGGGACGTGTGTGTGCAGGGGACGGGGAAATCTAGAGGCATGGCAGCCTCCAGGAGCAGAGACCGCTGAGGGGTTTGGAGCCAGCTGGTGGAGCTCAGGGTTGTGGACTCAACTCAAGGGCAAGGCACCCTCGGATGATATTTACTCCCCAGGGGTTCGTCCCAACTGCCTCATTTCCCTGACTGGAACGTTCTGCTCGTTGTCTCACCTGAAGGCCAGGTGCTGGTTTCTCATAGTGGGGCTGGGAAAGAGGTGTTGCCTGTGCCATCTTAATGCTCCCCACCTCTGCTTCTCCCCTATCTCAAGATGCCTCCACCCAGACCTGCATCGGAGGGAGGCAGAGCTCGGTGCTGGAAAAGGCCACTGCGGGTGGCGGTGGAGGGGGGCAAGTGAGAGGGATGGGAACTCTGGCATGTGGACGCTTAGACTGGAATCCGGGCTCAAACTGTCCCTTACCATGGGCCTCTGCCCCTCGGCATCCTCACCTGTGAGACGGGAGTATGAACTTCTGCCTCGCGCCCTCCCAGAGAGAGGCGCAGAACCAAGGAGACAGACGGTCTTGCAAAGGCAATTGAGCACCTTTCAGCACTGCTTAGAAGACTTAAGGAATCTAACCCCCCTCAATGGCAGTGAGGCTGCCCAGGGCTTAACAATGACGATCCCCATTGGCTGAGCATTCACTGGGTGCAGATAGCTTCATGGATCGCCTCGAATGGCACCCCCTACATATGTGTCCACTTAACTAAGCAGGGATTCCCAGAACCCTGCTGGTCTCCTCCAAGCTGTGATGAGCTGTAATCCTAACCTCGATCCCTGAGTAAGGAGTCAGTCAGGATTCGTTTATGTGACAGAGGATTAGGTTGCTTGTTATGTTAATGAGGCAGGACTGGGGTGGGGTGCACATCACCCTTAGTGCAGTCACCACCTTTACCTGGATCACGGCCTTAGTGCCATGTAAGGGGAGTTCCCCGGGGCGTGGTCTGTATCACCCTTTCCTTACAAGCGAGAAAAGGAAAGAGAAGTGAACGGAGAGGGAGGGACCTCAGTACCACGGAGAAAGAAGCGCAGAGTGGTGGGTCACCTTTGCAGGCGGGGTCCCTGTGCTGAGAACTTCCTAGACTCAGAGGAAGATTGATGCCAAGAGACAGGTGCATCTCCGGGGGATGCTGGGAGACAAAGACCTTTGTCCAGATCTGAGAGAAGGAAAAAGGCCTTCCCCTGGAGCTGGCACCCCGAATTCATACCTCCAGCCCTCTGCACTGTGGGGGGTAGATTTCTGTTTACTAAAGCCTTCCACTGTGGTATTTCTGTCCAGCAGGGCTAGATGAAGAGGGTGTGTGGCATCTCAATTCCCCCACCACCCTAGGGGGTACTGAGCCTCTGTTTTCAGTCTATTTACAGATGAAGATACTAAGACTCGGGTTTAAGAAACCTGTGCCAGACACGCACCAAGCATAATGGTGGAGCTGGGATTTAAACCCACGCTGTGGGGCTTTGGACCCTTAGCTCCTGTGCTACACGAAATTCAATGCAGAGGGACACCTGAAGCCCAGAGAGGGGTTGGGAGTTGCCCAAGGCCGCATAGCAAGCTAAGTTGGACCCCCTGTACCCCCCACCAAAGCTTCTGGGGAGGCCTGCTGCCAGGCTTCTCCCTGCAGGTCCCAGGGAAGGAGGGGCATCCTGGGTGTCAGGAAGCTTGCCTATAAATGGCTGTGGAAGGGAGCTGGGCTTCCCACCAGCTGCTCCTCCCCCTGGGGCAATTGAGGACAGCAACTTTCCCCCACAGGCTCCAAGGGGCCCGGTGAGTGGGGACAGGACCTTGGCAGGGCACCACCATGGCGCACCCTGCAGGGCTTTCTGGAGATTTACTGATACCGACTTCACAGTCCCTTTCTGCTTTAGCGGCTGTTTCTGTGCCGCCCCTGGCAAGTGCCCTGTACTCTCTGGGCCTCAGTTTCCCCATCTGTATGATGGGGGCATAGCGACAGCACTCAGTATTCAGGCTCTCGTTTTCTCAACAGACCGGTGCCATAGGTACAGCTACTGTAGGCCTAGGGATTTGCCCAAGGTCAGACACAGCAGGCAGAGGACACGGAACTTGACCCCACGCGGTCTTGCCTTCCCCTTCCCAGGATCTTCTTACCCTATGCTGCTGCTTCAGAGGTTCAGACCCCTCCCACCCTTGCCCCTCCTGGGACCCTGGAATGGAGTGGGGTGGGGGGCAGACCTGGCACTGAGCTGTGGGCTCTTCTTTAAACTCTTCTCACTTTGAACACTCCTGAACTGCAACTGGCTGACCTGTGGCTCACTCCCCCACCCTGGACCCTCCTTTCCCCCTCCTCTCAGCGGTAGGGGAGACTCAAGACTGAGGGTGAGTTGGGGGGAGCACTACCGGCTATTTCCTATTTGCAGGTTCCTCTCACCCCTCACCCTCACACTCACCCTCTTTAGATCCCAACTCACCCCCCCCCTTTTGTTCCCAAAGCCACCTCCAGAGGCAGTAAGCCCCCCACTGGCAAATCCCTTCCTCTGCCTCTTCCTTCAACCTCTTCTTCCCATTTACAGTCTCCCTCAGACAAGCCCAGGTCCTAGAGGTAGGAGGGGAGAGGGTAAGCCCACCAACACTTTGCTCAATACCCAAATCACTCCCACCCCAGGAGTGAGTGACCCAGGAGGAGTGGCCCCTGACTGCTCCCTCCCTCCCACCCAGGACTAGCCAGCAGGCCCTGGGGCAGCAGAAGCCAGGTGGGACCCCATCCCTCTAGAGCAGCAGCATGGGGGCGGTGGGGGCCAGGTTTAGTGTTCTAGGAATGCTCATTGTCCCTTCCTCTCCACATCCCTGGGTCCAGGTTTCCCCCCCACCCCGAGGGACCCAGGAATAGTTGCCTTAGAAGGCTTGATGGGGGTGGGGTGGGATGGGGGGGTCATCTCTCTCAGCCAATGACCTCCTTCCCATTTCCCTCTGTCTGCACGGACCCCAGGGAACTGTGCAGAAGTGGGGACCAAGGGTTAAAAGAGTGAGCTGGGGAGGGGGTGACAGGTCTCCCACTGCCTGCCCTCCTTAAAGAATGGAGCCACCTACCTCTTCACTCCCAGTTGCAGGGACCAGTCTGCTCAGAGCCCAGGTGAGGAGTGAGCGCTCACCTCCACACCTACTGGAAGAGTAGTCTTAGGTCCCTCCCCGCTCCCCCCCTCCCTTTTCCTTCGGGCTCCACACGTGGCCGAACAGGCAGTCTGCAGGCCCCGCCTCTCCCGCGGCCAGCATTTCTGACTCGCTCAGGTAAGGCTGGTTCAGGCAGGAAATGACCGCCCACGTGTCCTGTGTGGTCTCTCGGTACGGGCACGTGGGCAGGGGAGCCTTGGGTAGACCAACCGGGTGTTGCTTGAGCTAAGGTGTCCTGGGGGCATCCTGAATGGCAGCCAGGGGAGGGTAGGCGGGCAGGAGGCCAGTGGGCAGGAGACCCTTCCCATCCCTCTTCTGTGCCGGCTGTCTCAGACCCTGGGAAGCGTCGGGGCTGGGAGGGGGTCGGGCAGGGACACCGGAACTGCTGGGGACCCCCTCTTTCCTGCTTTCCTTTCCTTTCAAAGGCCTCTGCGTCTTTTGGAAGGGGTTCCTCTCCTGGAGATGTGGAGGCCTAGGGAAGGAGCCCTGCTCTTTATTCCCTCCCTCGCGTCTGCGCCTGAGAATGGAACCTTCCTTGGTGCGGGGGAAGCTGGCCTGGAGTCCAGGCACTTCCTCTCCATAGCTCCAGCTCCCTCCTGGTCGAGTTGGTTCTGTGCCAGGGGTCTGGGTCACAGTGGGGGAGGGACCCTGGTGTTGGGGGCCAGCTGGTCTGGGCAGGTTGGTTTGAAGTGAGGGAGCCAGCAAAGCACCTGGCCCAGGGACTGGTGCTGCCACAGGGCTCCGTTTGACAGACGGTGGAAGGGTGGGGGGTGGGGGCATCCAGTGCTTTCCTGCTTGGAGCCTTAAGGGTTTGGATACCCACTGGCTTCCCAGAGGTCTGGTAAACTTGTGCTGTAGGTGGCCAGTGGGCAGAGCTTTACAAAATTCCCCAAGGCAGTCAGTCCCCTTAGTGACCCAGGGAAGATGTCTACATGTCTGTCCAGGGAGTTCTGCTGGCTTGGGGGGCATGTTCATCTTTGAGCTACAAAAATGGCACCCTGTCCTGGGGGGAGAGGGGAGAGGCAGCCCCAAGGACAGCCCCATACTGTAGGGACACTGCTGTGTGGTGGTGGGAGGGCCAACAGCAGAGGTTCTTGGGTGGGAGGGCTCTGGGGGCCGGCAGATGGAGTGCCCAGGCTCCGTGGAGGTGGCCACGCGGCTCTGACCCTCGTCACCTCCAGGAGGCAGCACCGAGCATGGCCTTTGCATTGGTTCTCAGGGCTGGGCTGGAGGGGACGTGTCTTGGCTCTTTTAGTTCATCTCCTGGCCGCTTTCTTTAGTTCCAGCCCCAGAGAAAGGCAGACTTCAGCCTCAGTTGCCTCCTGGGCCCGCCTGGTGACCCCTACCTCTGGTAGCATCAGTTCCCACAGGCTGGGGGAGTTTCTTTCAAGCTTCAAAACACATGATTTCTCTGATTGAAGTGGACACCTTGCCTTAAGCTTACCCTTCCAGGAGAAGAGACTCAAGGTGACTGCCGCA